ATACACTTTTCAATAAGTTATAGCATTATAATGTTAAAAATGTAAAAAATAAAATCGAGAATTTTCACACAAAAATAGCATTCGGTAGCCATTTTCACCGTGAAGATAAACTAAAGTCCGATATTTTTTTTTTCACGATAAAGTATATTACATTAACTTTAATTTAAGATAATAATATATAAAAGTGTCAGACCTTCCGGAACACTTTCAAAAATTAAGTTGAAAAAATTAATTTTTTGTAAAAAAGTTGTCATTTTAAATCCCCCCCTGTGGGCAGGTAAAAAGTGTAATTTATAAAAAAAATATACCAAATGATAGGTAATGACATCATGCAACTATAAAAAAAAGAATTATATTGATCCATACATCTTTCAAAAAGTTATAGCATTATAAAGTTAAAAATATAAAAAAGAATTTTTTTACAAAAATCGTATTTTTTTTATTAAGTTTAATGTCTGTTTTCACCATGAAGATAAAATAAAGTCCGAAATTTTTTTTTACCATTATAAAGTATATTACATTAGCTTTAATTTAAGATATATATAAAAGTGTCAGACCTTCCGGAACACTTTCAAAAATTAAGTTGAAAAAATTAATTTTTTGTAAAAAAGTTGTCATTTTAAATCCCCCCCTGTGGGCAGGTAAAAAGTGTAATTTATAAAAAAAATATACCAAATGATAGGTAATGACATCATGCAACTATAAAAAAAAGAATTATATTGATCCATACATCTTTCAAAAAGTTATAGCATTATAAAGTTAAAAATATAAAAAAGAATTTTTTTACAAAAATCGTATTTTTTTTATTAAGTTTAATGTCTGTTTTCACCATGAAGATAAAATAAAGTCCGAAATTTTTTTTTACCATTATAAAGTATATTACATTAGCTTTAATTTAAGATATATATAAAAGTGTCAGACCTTCCGGAACACTTTCAAAAGTTACGTTGAAAAAGTTCTACTTTCTATATGCATTTTTATGTTTTGAATCCCCCCTGTATTTAGGGAAATGGTCCGATTTAAAAAAACAGTATGTCGAATGAAAGATCTATATAAATACTACTTCTCATAAAAAAATTGTAATGATTCATACATTTTTCAAAAAGTTATAGCATAATAAAGTTAAAAATGGAAAATACTTTTACAAAAATCGTATTTTTTTTATTAAGTTTAATGTCTGTTTTCACCATGAAGATAAAATAAAGTCCGAAATTTTTTTTTACCATAATAAAGTATATTACATTAGCTTTAATTTAAGATATATATAAAAGTGTCAGACCTTCCGGAACACTTTCAAAAGTTACGTTGAAAAAGTTCTACTTTCTATATGCATTTTTATGTTTTGAATCCCCCCTGTATTTAGGGAAATGGTCCGATTTAAAAAAACAGTATGTCGAATGAAAGATCTATATAAATACTACTTCTCATAAAAAAATTGTAATGATTCATACATTTTTCAAAAAGTTATAGCATAATAAAGTTAAAAATGGAAAATACAAAATCGAAAATTTTCACACAAAAATAGCATTCGGTAGCCATTTTCACCATGAAGATAAGATAAAGTCCGAAATTTTTTTTTACCATAATAAAGTATATTACATTAGCTTTAATTTAAGATATATATAAAAATGTCAGACCTTCCGGAACACTTTCAAAAGTTAAGTTGAAAAAGTTATACTTTCTATATACATTTTTAGGTTTTGAATCCCCCCTGTATTAAGGAAAATGGTCCGATTTAAAAAAACAGTATGTCGAATAAAAGATCTATATAAATACTACTTCTCATAAAAAAATTGTAATAATCCATACATTTTTCAAAAAGTTATAGCATAATAAAGTTAAAAATGGAAAATACAAAATCGAAAATTTTCACACAAAAATAGCATTCGGTAGCCATTTTCACCATGAAGATAAGATAAAGTCCGAAATTTTTTTTTTTCATGATAAAGCATATTACATTAGCTTTAATTTAAGATATATATAAAAGTGTCAGACCTTCCGGAACATTTTCAAAATTTAAGTTAAAAAAATTAATTTTTTGTGAAAAAGTTGTCATTTTAAATCCCCCCCTGTGGGCAGGTAAAAAGTCAAATTTATAAAAAAAATATACCAAATGATAGGTAATGACATCATGCAACTATAAAAAAAAGAATTATATTGATATGTTTATATTTCGAGAAGTTATAGCATTATAAAGTTAAAAATATAAAAAAGAATTTTTTTACAAAAATCGTATTTTTTTTATTAAGTTTAATGTCTGTTTTCACCATGAAGATAAAATAAAGTCCGAAATTTTTTTTTACCATTATAAAGTATATTACATTAGCTTTAATTTAAGATATATATAAAAGTGTCAGACCTTCCGGAACACTTTCAAAAGTTACGTTGAAAAAGTTCTACTTTCTATATGCATTTTTATGTTTTGAATCCCCCCTGTATTTAGGGAAATGGTCCGATTTAAAAAAACAGTATGTCGAATGAAAGATCTATATAAATACTACTTCTCATAAAAAAATTGTAATGATTCATACATTTTTCAAAAAGTTATAGCATAATAAAGTTAAAAATGGAAAATACAAAATCGAAAATTTTCACACAAAAATAGCATTCGGTAGCCATTTTCACCATGAAGATAAGATAAAGTCCGAAATTTTTTTTTTTCATGATAAAGCATATTACATTAGCTTTAATTTAAGATATATATAAAAGTGTCAGACCTTCCGGAACATTTTCAAAATTTAAGTTAAAAAAATTAATTTTTTGTGAAAAAGTTGTCATTTTAAATCCCCCCTTGTGGGCAGGTTAAGGGTTAAATTTATGAAAAAAATATACCAAATGAAAGGTAATGATATTATGCATCTATATAAAAAAGAATTATATTGATATGTTTATTTTTGAAAAAGTTATGGCACTTTTAAGTAAAAAAAATTGAAAAAATTTCGAAAATTAGCGATTTTTAAATTTGTAATTTTTTTGGAGGTTTCCCCCATTTACGGAGAACGAGGGAATTTTTTTCAATNTTTTGGAGGTTTCCCCCATTTACGGGGAACGAGGGAAATTTTTTCAATTTTTAAGGGTAATGTCTTCGACTAGATACGATTTGTGATCTTTTGACGTATCGTTGAAAGAAATCCGTTCGGTGAGAGCTGAGAAAAAGTGGTAACAGACACAAAAAAACAAAAAAAAAATAAACACATCTTAGTAAAACCAATACCTTCTCAGCTTCGCATCGAAGCTAAAAATATACTGATTTGGCCATTTTTGATAAAGTTATAACAGTTAACATAGTTATAAGTTTTATACATTGTATTACAAGGAACTTTCATCAGAAACAATAATATAATATTTAAATTAAATTCCAACATTTTTTTGGTAAATTTTTTCAAACTTATCTGATTTATATATATATTTTTTTAAATTGTTCTTTTTCTGATTATTTACATGTAAAATAAAATATACTTATATTGTGTATTTTTGAATTCTTCACAAAATTATCTATCTATTAATGTCAATTTTATAATTATGATGTTAATGTCATTCATAATTATAATTTTTTGCTAATTATTCATTAAAAAATATATATCGATAAAATATATAAACATATATTTTATTTATTATAAATTATATAAAAATTAAAATAATAAATTATTACTATTCTTAAGGTTAA